AATGTACAGTTTGATACCAAACTTATTGACATAAATTCATGAAATAGTAGTTCAATAAAATTTTGAATGCGACTCAACAAACAAAAGGGTTATTAATGTATCTACTGAAACACGAAAATGTTAGTAAAAACGGATTCTTAAACAAAAGATTCTTGTGTAAAAATTATAAAATCTAAAACACATTCACATATCAGTAAAAGTTAAAATGGGTACATACCCAAAAATTTAATTAACAGATAAAATAAACTACCAGCTAGTGCAAAAAACTGACACTCACAAACCAAAATACTGGTTTATCTAGGGAAAGTAAATGAAAAAGAAAGACACAATCTAACAAAGAAGAAAATTCTGGTGTTTTTTTTTTTTAGAAAACATCAAACAGCATAAGAAATATTAATAAAAACTAATGTTCTCCCTCTTCGGTTTAAAAAAATAAAACTAAATAGTATTTTCCCCTAAATGTTAGGAGTAAATGGTCTGACACATAAAAGCTTTCCAAACCTGGCTTGCTCCAGTCATGTGATATATTAGTATAATCAGTTGCATCCAACCTTTAGTTTCATCTGTCTGGTCTCTATGAAGGACTTGAGTCTGAAAAAATAAAGATTCTTTCTTCTACAGTTACTGTTATGCAAAACAAATATTTATAATTCAATAATGCTACAAAATTTTTTTTATTTTCATCTTTCAGAAATTACAAACAACACTATGTAAGTAACTCAAAGAGTTAATCAAAACAAAAACTGAGTTTAAGATTAATCCCAAAATAAAATTGAAATGAAAAAATCAAAGACTTTCAAAACCAGAAATGTCATTCATTTTTCAAGTTCTGATAATGAATTGTAAAGAAAAATTTACCCAGAACTGAAAATACATATTAAAAGTAAATTAAAAAAATTACAGCTATATTTAACAATTTTGAGAAAAAATTCTGTATAACTGAAAGTTGTCCCACTTAGTTTAGCCTACATTTATCAGACATATATAATGATTGGCATTCAGAAATTTGCTGATCAAATTTAAACAATCCAGATGAACTTTTAAGCATTTTAATTTTGGATTGATAAATTATAAAATAAAAATGGCAGTCAAAATGTGTAAATGAAATCACTTATAGCAGAAACATTTGTTCAAATTAAGTTACACACAAAACAAATGTCATAATAATAACATAAAGCTTTAAAGTATAGTGTGTATGATTACCAAAAACAGCATATGTAACTAACACCACACAGGCCTTTAGTGCAAGATATTACCACCACTTTAGAATATCAGGTTGTGTTATGAATCATATAACTGTATTTAATTCAGTCAAAATAGAACAAGAAACTTGAAATGTGTAAAATAACAGTACAATATACCACATGTTTGTTGTCTTAAATAATGTATAACTTGCAGTATTTAAAAATAAGCATTGCTACAATTTTTTGTTTGAATTTACTTTTTATGTTTATTCACCTCAACATTAAAAACTTTTTCTAGATTATTCAAACTTGTCAAGTCTATTTTGTGAAAACTTAAAATCATCATCATTTGAGTTTTAAAGTTTATTACATTCTGGTTAAGTTCAGACTATTGTGTGTAATTACTTTGTGTAACATGTATGAGTTAGGGTCAAACATTAGCATGTTGTGTGTTATGAAGTGTAATATACACTGGTGAAACTCAAATTTTAGCATCAGTTTCTAAGCAAATTGTAGCTAAAAAGTACTTAAGTAACACTTTCCTAAGAAAATGTTAACACAAATGTTGTGCAACTCTATAAATATGCTCAATATTTTCTTTAATTTCCTGTAAGCTGCTTTTCATCAGTACGTGTATAACACAGTTCCTAGACTTATGACATGTAATGTGTAGAGCTATACTTGCAAGCTAAATCTTGTGTATCTGTGTTAACAAAAAATCAAGTTTACTTTAAGCCTAAAGCACTAAAAAAATTTACAATGATTGTCAATATGTCATTAATAAAGCCATTTTATTTATAAATGTGAATCATACTTAAGTTTTTATTTAAATTATAGTGTTTAATCACTTTGTAAAAATGCCTACTTATGCATGTCAGTTAACCAATTTATAAATGTTTTTACTAGAAAGGACAATATTTCAAACTATCTTTGTGTTAAAATCTTGTTAGAGAAGTGTTACTTAAGTACTTTTTAGCTACAATTTGCTTAGAAACTGATGCTAAAATTTGAGTTTCACCAGTGTATATTACACTTCAAAACACACAACATGCTAATGTTTGACCCTAACTCATACATGTTACACAAAGTAATTATACGCAAATTAACCAGAATGAAATAAACTTTAAAACTCAAATTCTAAAGCACAAACTTAAGCAACATACATTACACATCCAAATACATATGCAAATGTTTAAACTTCATTAAAATATATTGCACTTTCATTCACATGCTCAAGTACAAACCTCACCAATATATAAAAAATTCAAAATACATATGAAATATGAGTAGCATAGTAAATGACACATACATGCTTAAGTGTAACATCCCAACAGACACTGTACTTTGAAACATACAAATTCTGCTACATATTTCAAAAAGACAATTTTATAACAGAAAAATATTAATACTTACATGTTGACTTTCCTCACTGAAGAACAGACCAAGAGCAAACACATATGCAAATGGAATGAAGAAAGTCAGGTGGGTGTAGTACTTGTTCTCTTTCATAAAAAAGTTTGTTCTGAAAATAAAAAACATATGATACTATCACAGTAGACATATAAAAGTATGCCTGTGAAACACTTTTATATGAAATGCTATTTTATACTATTAATGTTATTACACACATTATCAGTGTTTGCTTTATGTGCAAATAAAAGTCTAAGTAGTATAACACAGGTAAAGTGCCTACAACTTCTGCAATTTCAACTGAATATCTTCAATACATTTAGGAGAACATACGTAAAATAAACACAATCATGATACTGAATTTAACATATTTCAAAACTTATAAATTCATCAGGGTTACACATGTTCCATCAGTGTACTTTGTCCATACCATCTATAACTTCTGTTCATCATATAGGCCTGCACAAATGGATGGTGGTCTAATGAGGTCATTTTCTTTAAGATAGGAAAGTACACAAACTACAAGAAACATGTTCATTAGCATACGATTCTGCTTACTATGTAAATATTTGGGAATGAAAGTCATCTTCAGACAGTTTTGAACATTAGATCTGCACCATGGTCTTCTACCTTTTCCCACAGTGACTTTTTAAAAGACAGTCCTTAGGACATAATCAACTATGAAAGGAATATTTTGGATAGTGAAGATCACATCCAGTAACTTCCACTGCTTAATGCAGCCACTGAATGCCTTTTACACTTTGGTAACCAACCTTTATCAGTATGACTGTGTTGCTTATGTCCTTGAGGGAAAAAAATATTTTATCTGCTTTTCAAATCCAAGGTCCTGAATAAGCTCAGGCCCATTTCTAAAACCACAGTCTACAACAGCAAAACTATGTGGTTCCAAACAACATTAATGACTCTAACATTATTTTCAAATATATGAAAAATTATTGCAGCATCATGTCTCCCATTAGCAAGATAAGGGCCCATAACAGACACAATGTATCAATCTGT